CGGAATAAATCTTGCCCTGTGTGAAGCCGGAGCTGGTGTAGGGAGAGCAGGACGCTTAGTGGGCACGGGGCGGGCTCTGAAGCTGGTGGCCTGGGTCTGAGCGCCAGCCCCGGTGTGTCTGACCTTGGGCAGTGGACTCACCTGGCTGAGCTTTAGCGACTTTGGCTCTCAATGGGGGCAACCAGGGCATCTGCCGCGGTGGGAGGTATCGAGTGAAGGAGACGGCGCAGGTAAAGTATCCAACGCAGCCTAGCCTGTGTATTAACACAGCGTGTGCTTCAGAAATGGTGGCGTGGGAAAATAAGGCGATGCTAACAGCCATCTTAGCTGGGACCAGCTTCAGGTGGGAATGGGATAGGAGGCCCACCCCAGGGGTGAGGGGCTAAGAAGAGGCGAAGAAGGTGACTGATTTCACCCATGGCACAGCCTCCGCAGGCCTCCCCTCCGGCGTTTCCTTCTTTGCCTCTTTGTATTCATAACCAGTGTTGGCCATGGTTGGTGGGGAGCAGTTTTACTCCCCATTGACCCCACAACCATGTTGATTTACGCCCATTTAACAGGTGAGGAGCCTGAGGCTCTGCCCTGGCAATGATTTTCCCAAGCTGGGTTCCCTTTGGTGGAGAGCCCCACCCCCACCCCACCCCACCCCCGGCTTTGGGGGCCAGTGCCTCAGGCAGTGGCTGGATGTCCCCAGAGGTCAGCGAGTGCTGCTGTATACTGACCTCCTGGCTGGCTGTGAGGGCCTGCGCAAATGCTCCCCAGTGCTGCTGTATACTGACCTCCTGGCTGGCTGTGAGGGCCTGCGCAAATGCTCCCCAACCCCCAGCCCACTCCCAGGCCTCTTTCAGGTTCAGCCACTCAACAAACAGTTGGCACCCTGGCTTGCTGGCTGTGCCCTGGGACCTGGGGGTGTGGTGATAAATCCCATGTGATCTGTGCCCTAGAGGGGCTGCCAGCCGGAAGGAGAGGTGGACATGGCAGAGAGTGGGGGTGATTGGCAAATATAATATTGGTGGGGAAGTGTGGCAGAAGTCTAGGGCAGAGGGGCAAGTTCCTAATGCTTTGGGCATGCAGGCCCCCCGACGCAGGTGTTCTGGGCGGGGAATTGCTTTGTGATTTTAGGAGTTTGGACTGGCAGCCTGCTTTATAGCAGGCCTGGGTTATTGGGCTCCCGCCCAACCCCTGCCTTCACGCCCAGTGTCCCCCTCCTCAGACCAGGGACAGACCCTCGGGGAAGGGGGAACTCCAGAGAGGACATTGGAAGGCCTTGGGGAACTTGGGTGTGATCAGTAGAATCCTGATTGTAGCCCTGACAATGCCCACTCACTGTACACCACCCGACTTGTAGCTCGTGTCCACAGCCTGTATGTGAAGTGTGTATGGGAGCCACACTGCATCTTCCAGGTTCTGAACTGTTAGCCCTCTGCCCACATTTCTGCTCTGTCTTATCAGGACCTTTCTTTCCCTGCGGGAGTCCTTCCTTCTCCCCTTTCAGTTTCACCTTGCAGGATTATTTTTGCTGATAGAATCCTGGTCTTATAACCAGCAGTCCTTTGTGAGCAGAGCTGGAAACACCCCCTCATGGACTTACCGCAGGGAAAGGATAGCGTAAACCTCAGGCACCTCGTCGTGGTCTGGAAGCCCTCCCTGCGCTAAGCTGCCTTCGGGCACTGTGCTCACGCACTGTGTCCTCTGCTCTTCAGGCTGAGCTCCCACAGCTCCGGATGAGTGGAACTCTAGATGTCATTGCCCAGAGACCCCACAGGGGCAGGTTTCTGATACCGGGATCCGCCTATCAATTTATCTCATCATTCATTTAAAAAAATGTGTTCAGAACCAAAGGTCGCCGAGCATCTGCACTGCCAGGCCTCACGCTGGGGGCCCGAGTTACCAAAATGAAAAGAGTAGGACCTCTAGCCTCGAGGCGATCACAGTCCTGCAAGGATGATTGACAAGTAGCTGGACGATTAAAATCGTCCCAGGATGTGAGTGCCGGGGTAGGGGCCAGCTGTGGGCTGTGGGAGACGGAGGAATCTCCCAGTGGGTGGGCGGTGGACGGGGAAAGCTTCTCGGAGGAAGCAGCACCTGGGCTGAGCCTTGGAGGGAGCACAGGGCCAGGGGTGGGGGACGTCCGGCCTGCGGGCTGTATAAGGCCCAAGAAATCATTTGGTCCGGCCCTGCCAAGGCATGAGGGGTGAGTTAATTAAATATTTGGCCAAATATAGGAGGCTAGTTTTAAGTTGATCATTTTGTGTGGCCCGAAAATAATGTTATAAATATCCAAATGGCCCTCGGCAGGAGAAAAGTTCCCCACCCCTGCATTAGGCAAAGGGGGGAAAGGACATACAAGGCACTGTGTACAGAGGCATCAAGACAGATGTGCTGGGTAGTGTGCTGGAGCGTGGTGGGCATGTGTGTATGTGTGTGTGTGCGTGTGCGTGTGTGCATGTACATGTGCATGAATGGGTGATGGCAAAGCCAATGGAAAGGGCCTGGCAAGAGATGATCTATGGGCTGGATCATGAAGGGGCCTTGTATGTTGTGCTAAGGAGCTTGGAGTTTATCCCAAAAGCCATGGAGAGCTATTGAAAGGGGTTTTAGGCAGGGGAGTGCTGTGATCAGATTTGCGCGTTAGGAGGATCACCCCGGCAGCCCTGTGGAGGTGGGTCGGCAGGGCCGAAGCTGGAGCCGGGGAGATCAGTCAGGATTTCTCGGGATTTTCTCTGTGGTTTTACAAATCTGACGAGGCTGGCTGGGGCGGGCCTGGCACACACCAGCTTGGAGGGAAAATAAAGGTCTGAAATGGTTTCCCGACTCAGAGTTTAATTCCACCTTCATTTGCTGGTTACCCAGCCTGCCACCCCCACTCAGCCTCAAGGGCCCGCCGCCTGGACTCCCAGATCCCTGCCCTCCCCAGAGGCCTCAGAACTGGCAGCTATCAGCGTTCAGTCAGAAAGGGTCATGCAGGTCCGGGCTCCCCCGGATCTTCGCCCCTGGAATGCCAGGCCACAGAGCCCAAACATTGTCTTTCCTCTCACACCCGGCCGCCTCTTCCCGGCGCACAGAGCAGCCATTGAGGGGCCGCTCATCTGGCGGGGGTCCCGGCCCATGTTAGTTACGGGCAGCGGCTTAGTCACGCTCCGCGGAGCCTTTCTTCTTGGGACAAGCCTGTCCTTGTGTGAGGGCCTTCCTCCCGCAGCAGCCCAGCTCCAGGCAGCTGCAGAACCCGCTGCCCGCCCCCCACAGCACCCTTCAGAGGCCCGCCAGTGGGAACCACCGCTCAGCAGGAGAGCTGATGCTGGGGAGTGGAGGGGTCCGGGGAGGCTGCCCTGGGAGCCCTTTGCCTTCTCCACATCAGGCGCCCCAGCCCCCGATCGCAGGTGCGGGACCCTGGTCTGTCCTGTTCCTTTGGCCCATAGCCTTCAGGGAGCCTGGGAAGAATGCAAGTTCTCTCCACCTCCCCCCGCCCCCCCCCACATCCTCGGTGCCTGTTCCCATGTTAAAGCTGACCAGCCTCTGCCAAGCAATTTCCAAAGCACTGTCTGCCGTCCTCGTGTGCCCCTGGGAGTTTTGCATGCTTGTGTTGAGCACCTGCTGTATATCCGTGCCTTGGGCTGGGTGCACTTGGATGTGGCCGGGCTATCTGTGGAGTTCAGAGCACAGGCTCTTAGTACAGACCAGCTGTACCTCCTAACCTTGGCTCCCCCGTTGACCAGCTGTGCAACGTTGGGAAAGCTTCTTTGCCCCCTTTGGCCACGGTTCCTTCATCTGTAATTGGGGCTATTACAGGATCCACCTCACTGGATTGGTGGGAAAACGAAGTGAGATAATACCTAAGGCGTTGAGCTGAGTGCCTGATGCTCAGTAGGACTCAGTGCAGAGCTGCTGCTCTCCCTCTTCCCTGTTGCTGTCGTTACTGGATCCTCACTGCCGCTCAGGGGACAGTGTTGTCCTGTTTTACAGGTGAGGAAGCTGAGGCCTGGGAGATGAAGTAACTCACTGGATGGCACCTAGCCGGCCAGTGGCAGAGCTGAGACTTGAACCCCGCTCTCTGTCCAGTGCCTGCAGTACAGCCAGCCCCTTTGGTAAATGGAGCCAGCAGCGAGGGGCTCCTGGCCTGGAGCGGTGGGAGTGGCGGCCCCTCCTATTTCACCTACGTGGTTTTCTCTGCTTTTCCAGGTTTCTGAGCCAGGAGGTGAGGATTGGCAGAGCTCAGGGATGGCGAAGGTCGTGACACTCGGCCAGAAGCTGCAGCCCCAGGGCCCAGTGGCCGGAGATGAGTGATGGTGCCAGCTGAGCACCTGCTGGAAGCGGGGCAGGAGGAGCAGTAGCCCCCGGAGAGCACCGGCTGCTCCAGGATGCAGCGATGATGCCTCCGGAGGCCCCGGCCTCCCTCCCGCCCGGGCGCTAGGAGCCGTGCCCAGGCTCCAGCCAGGAGCCCTGCCGCCCAGGGGCATGGCCAAACCTTTCTTCCGACTCCAGAAGTTTCTCCGCAGAACACAGTTCCTGCTGTTCTTCCTCACGGCTGCCTACCTGATGACAGGCAGCCTGCTGCTGCTGCAGCGGGCCCGAGTGGCCCTGCCGCAGGGGCCCCGGGCTCCTGGCTCCCTGCAGGCCTTGCCCGTGGCCGCCATGGCGCTGGGCGTGGGCCTGCTGGACAGCAGAGCCCTGCAGGACCCCCGTGTCAGCCCGGAGCTGCTTCGGCGTGGA